GTGCTGATTCTAGTGCTTCTCAATTTGGATTCGTTCCGTCTCACCCTTAATCCACAAAACTCCAACTTTTACCGGTGGCTTTCGCTACTGTTTTTGAGGATTTTCTTTTCTCGATATTCTTGTTGAACAAACGCGAGGTGTTACTTTATGCTTTGTTCTTGATTTCAATCAAGTCAATCATTTTCTTTTCATCGTGAATATCGTTAACTGCTGGTAGCATTGATTTACCCAGGAGGCCTCAGAGAGCTTAGCTAGAGCATTCCCACTTAGGCTGCAGGTAATGACTTTTCCCATACACGTCCGGTACCAATCTGCCGACTCCGCATCATCAGAGGTTTGATGACCCCAGAGCGCGATCGAACCAGCACCGTGCTCGTGATGATCAAATGGTACTTGCATTCTCTAACACTTGAAAGGACGGTCTTCACGAGCTGCGGAGACCTTAGTAAATTTTCCATTCGTTTCCTTGCCAACAATAAAAAATCAAGTACACCGTTCTACATCCAAATTTGCGAAGATAATGAGGGTAGGCCGTGTAGTGCGCATGAACGACAACCGATGAACAAGAGTCGTTAGCGACTGGATACCCTGGGTGGCCAAAGGTACTGCAAGAGGACCACCGTTTTCATGGTAAGAGCTCTTCTAAGGCTTTCGTGATTCTGTAAACAGTGTCTATAAAGCTTTTAATTTGACGTATATCCACATGAAGACTGCATTTGTTGTTAACATCTGCTGCCCTTTTCATTTGTTTTTATAGCGACTTGGTTTAAAAAACCAAACTTTTTGTAAGTGTCGTTTCTTCTATCCAACTGCTTGCTGCCCAGGTATAATGACACTACGTGCCGATAACGAGGATTTTTTTATCCATCATACTTGGCGTTTTCTTTCTAACATACACTAGTACTTTATAGGCAAATTCTCACCTACGTTGAAGTCTAAATAATACGATGACATATTTGAGTTGTCTGCTTGAAAAATACACCTTGAAGATTACCCGACAACGAAGCGAAGGAGGTAGTGCGCTAAGGAGCATTCTAATTTGAACTGTTTGACAAGCTTAGTTGAATCGTCTACTAGCGATCGAGTTTTAGAAATTCTGTCATTTCTCGCACAACGTGCAAGAACACGTGCTCGTCACGGTAACCGCCCAGATGGTGTCGTGTCATTCTAAATCCACCAAAAAGGTTGTTTAAAATTAACAAAATTAGTAGCTGATGGAAGATGACTTCATATTGTACAATATACCGCATTGATGAATAGAAAATGTAAACATCTAACCACTGGTGTGCAAAGAAGTTTGTGTTCATTCTGTGATCACTAACGAGGACGTCGATGGCAAGATGCTCCAGTAAAGAATCTCTGAATCTTACAGTATCCATATGGTTGTCCTTCACATCGTATTCTGTCAAAACATGGTAGAAGATCACTGCCTTTAATCACTCATAGCGTATAGTAATCCGATTTTCTCGTCAATATACAACATTTAAACTTAAATTCAACAATGATGCAGTCACTTTTTATCTACTGCCTATTCCTTTTTTAAGTTGAATGCTCACCATTCGTTCGAACATTCGCTCGATTCATTCGAACAACTCGCAACCCGAATCGGACGTTTACGATTAAAAAGATGTGGATCAATACCGGCTTTGACAGTCTTCGTCGTTTTCGCCCGGCATCAAACTATAACCATGAAGAAGTCGAAGTGTTCTTTATGAACTTGGAGAAGTTCTACAGAGAAGACCATGCATTCTTTAAGGTCACACCATTAGAGATTTCAACGCCAAGTTTAGACCAAGTAGAACGTCTGAAGAACGGCACATTGGAACCCACGGATTAGAATAGAACGAACAGGGTGAGCTGCTGTCTGAGTTTATCAAGATTGTGTTTCTCGCGGAAAGGAGAAGAAGCCGCTAAATTCCAAAACCGAAGTTCGAAAACTACCGCAAACAGGGACTTATTCAATTCATTAACCGGCTGTTGGGAAGATGCCGTTGTCGATAACATCAACGAAGAATACGATCGGCTCATTTAACATCTTCGCGTTAGCGCTATGAAAACTGAGAGTTCGAAAGTCACCAAGAGACGTTTTTCTGCAGAAACACCCGAGCTGATACGCCAGCGTGGAACCGCACGACTTCAGGCAACCGCGATCTAACGTCCGAACTTGTAAATCAATGTAGAGAGGCGATAAAAGAAGATCTTAGAGAAAGAAGAGCAGCAGTAATGGCCGAATCTGCAGAGGCTGGGAAAACCATTTGCAAAGCCCACCGAAGCTTCGCCAATTACAAGACCAAAATGATTGCACCCTGACGCCGAGATGGAACAGTTACCGGCCTTCCGCCATTCCTCGCAAACACCCTGGCTCGGCTCTCCACAGGTTACCTGTCTGAATGCAAGGCCCTTACTCTGTGAAAGACCTGCAGAACCGTGTTATTGCTTAAGAAGAGTGAGCTACACGATATCTGCAACTCTTGCTCAATCATAATGTCATTATGCTTCCATGTGATTTCTGTGCGGTTGGTCTCTACGTGACATACTTAGTGGAAACCTCATAGAAAGCGGCTCTGAGGAAGGCGAAATCCGCCGAAACGTCAGCTTATTCGTGAATAAAGAATAATAGCACCTCGCGTTTACTCAACAAAAATACGAAGAATTACTTGGTCAATGCCGAGGTTAATAGAAAGTCGCTCGTGGGAGGTATTGCTCAATCTGTTTACTGTCTGTCGTCTACAAACTTTTCACTCGAGTAATCCTAAACAGAATTGACAGAGCACTAGACGAAGGACAGCCATGTGAGCAAGCAGGGTTTTGAAAAGGAATTAGTACGGTGGACCACATCCACACGGTAACAAGGCTCATTAAAGTTTCGCGAGTACAAAAGACCGCTCTGTCTCACTTCCATCGATTTACAGAAGGCCCTTGATTCAGTGGAGATAGAAGCAGTCTTGGAAGCTCTTGATAGTCAAGAAGTCTCTACTCAGTACATAAAGATTCTTCGTGAGCAGTACAAAAATTTCACAACCAAGGTATCAACATTCTTCTACGATATTAACATTGACGTCAAAAGAGGATTTAGGCAAGGCGACACCATCTCGCCTAAATTATTTACTGCCACCTTCCAGAACGTCATGCAAACATTGGAATAGGATAATATGGGAGTGAAAATCGATGGTCGGCAGTTTAAACACTCCTCTAGGTACGCATGGGGCACAAACGCACAACGGCGATGATTTTGAAGTGAATGTGCGCAGGAATGCGCATGCGATCCTAGCGCAATGCGATCCTAGCGCAGGAATCAAAAACATCAACGCGCGAAACTCTTGAGGCGTATTGGATAAACTTCACAGATCCAAAAATGAACCGGGAAGACGAATGCCTCACTATCACGCGTGACCTGGCGCCCTATTTCAAAATGATATTTTGACCTCGGGGCGTGTCTTGCTCGCGACTCCACGTGAACTACGTGTGGGCCAGTCCCGCACGTAATATCACGGTGAGTGGCCTTTCTGTTCAATATGGCGTCTATTTGAAAGTTTGATCTTCATTAACACTTTAAAAACCTTCTTTTCCACCGAATAATAAAAAGTATTCTAGCATAAAGCACCTCCAGGCTCTGAGGAAGGCGAAGTCGCCGAAACGTCAGCCATCGATCAATAACATCGAAAACAACGACAACGACAACAAAGGTCTGTACCAACCTCGCGTCAGCTTAAGAAGATCAGTTTATAAGATCACATAAATAAATATACGACTCTTCCTGTTGAGAAGGCCGTATAGGAACCTGCTTTTCAACTTGGAAAAACAATACTTCTAAAAGAACGGTTTCGCCCACGAAGACCTATTTACCATGAACATAACGATCTAAGTGCTTCAGTCGTATGCATCTAGATTGGTGTAATAGAAATTTAAACTAATTCCAATCGAAGCTTGGTAATCTAATTAGAAGCAATCTACTAAAAAGCCTCACTTAATCTAAAGAAAGCATGATCGAAAAGTTATCAATACTGAAGACTTTAATCGGTATGGCTTACTGTAGACGACCTTCTTTTTCGAAAACTTACATACTGCATAAGTAATCCTCTAACATCTTCTATTGCAAAACCTTTACGAAATTCATCAAAATCCAGATAAATCCCGCTGACGGGTGATTGCTGATGGCAGTGACCGATAGAAAACTAGTTAAGAGACAAGCGAAAAGAACGACTCGCATAGTGTGATGGTGAACGCGTTAACCCTCTGCAAGGACAATGTCGCGTTTGTTCCACGCTGCAGACACCTGCGGTCCGAAGTCTTGCAGATATCTCAGCATCATTACGACCGTAGTTCACATAGCAGTTTGCCGTGAAAAAATTGTAATAGGCAGCAAATAAAAAGCAAACATTTACGAAATCGTTACGTAGATTGTCATGTAATTTTTTGTTGTGCTTAATGTTTTGGAGCCTTCGTCTTCTTCAGACCTGCAATGGTTTGAGTCGAGTATTCACAGCAGTTGCACCTTGTCCCTTGTCCCGCGTGGATCTTGGCGGAGAGTCAGTCCTCGTATTTCAACAAGTTTCAGAAAACCATGGGATAGCGGAGTTATCAAAAGTGGCTAACCGTCATTCTGATTAACTACAGTGTTGCGAGTATTTCGGAGGTTCATATCTCATCGATAATAGTGTTAGCTCGCAAAATTTTTGTAAATAATCTCGGCTAGGAGAGGTTGTTACTTGGAATTTTAGAGAACTTCAATTTACAATAAGACCGGTTACGAGATTGTGTGCATTAGACATGCTCTCCCTGCAAACTATAGTATGTTAGCCTACTAGATCAACGTGCTCAACTAAATCCTCCTTCACTTCATGAATCGTTCTACTCTCTCTAATGAAAATAGCTCCGAAAATCATTTGGAGGAAAAGTTACCGCTGTGCTAATTTTTATAGCATTGTCCAAGAAAATAAGAAAAGTTTTAGCCTTTATTATTTTCTTTAAATGCATTCACAACAACAGTTGCTATAAGGCTAGTTCGGCTTGATGCAGAGCGCTTCGTCTTGGCTACATTTGCATCCATCGCATTTGCAATCTCCGTCGGATTTACACGGATCTCCGATGGTGTAAATTGTACCTCCAATGTAGTTGCCACTAAAATATTTCATTTAGGCACTTTTTTTTAACAATACAGCTTGAAAATATAACTTACGGTGGTGAGTACTGACAAACGACAAGTGTCTTGTCGGGACACACTGCAACACCACAGCCAAGTTTGTATGAGCCTTCCCACACCATCTTTGAAATTAATGGTTGCAGTGATTTGATGACATCAACATACAGCTTGAATATGCTTACCTGGGTATAATGACCGATGGCCATCTTTGGACGAATCCAAAGCTCATTTGTGAGCTTGTTATCTGGTGGCACTCCGTGTTTTACTAATTCATCGAACCATGATTTACTGGCCTTAAAGAAGATAACATGTTAAGGATCTTTACCAATTTATTGAAATTCCAAAACTGTTACAACCAAAAGTTGCGACGTTAATTTTCAGTTTGAAAGTCAACGCATGAGATCTCAACTCACCCGTGTAGCCATGTCGGTCAAATTTGTCTTCGCTGTCGAAATTACCCAGATGTTTTCTCCATTACCGCTTCCAGAACTGTGTTTGAATTCGCATTTGTTCGCATGCTTCGCTGCCGATTCCTCGACTTTACAGTCATAAACCTAAAAATTAAAATCGCTGGAGTTCCTATATAAGAAGGTGAAAAGAAATATGGTTTCTAACTGACCATTTTTAGCATTCGAGCAGCTTTTGGTGCATATTTGTTGGTACCGAGCGGATTTTCAGCCAAACCTTTAGCCGTCAACGATCTCAAAAAAAAAATAGAGCAAAATATAAAGACTTTCAAAAGTTTTAAAGTTGTTTGGAATTTAGGATATGCTACATTTTTCGGAAGTAATACAGGATATGATGGGTGCGTAGGACAGTTGAAGTGGTGCCGATCATCGGGAACACTGTATTGGTTCTCCTCACTCCGGTTCTGACTCCGCACCGGGCTCATTAAGCATTTCTTCCCATCGGGGTCAAAAAATTGATATCAGACTTGTCTGAAAAAGTTCGCTCTCACTGCAATCCAAATGCAAACGCTCTGACTCGCCTACCCTAATACTGCAGGCAGAGTCGACCCGACCAACATTCAACGACATCCATGACTGAAGGAAATTTCCAGGATCGACTTTCTCTTAACCTCGGCATTGGAATATGAATGTGTCGTTTTCTTGTTCAGCAATAGCGAGGTTTTTAAACAGCATACATTTACTTCCATAAAAACACTATATAATACAATGCTAGCTGACGTTTCGGCAGTATTGCCTTCTTCAGAGCCGCTTTTTCGTGACTTCCAATGAGGAAGTTTAGAACAGCTGATTATAGTCGCATGTGGTTGACGACTGCCAGTCAGCTGTTTTAAACTTCCTCATTGGAAGTCACGAAAAAGCGGCTCTGAAGAAGGCAATACTGCCGAAACGTCAGTTAGCGTTGTATTGTATTGTGTTTTTAATGAAGGAAATTCCTCAAGCAGAAACCGAAGTCATAATTAAGAAAGTTGAAATACCTTTTTGGATACTGAGTTGGAAGAATTGGAAGGAGTGGAAGAAATGCTGTGATCACCACAGTAGATGTGAAAGAAGGGTCGTGTAAAAAAAAATCAGAGATGTGTATAGTGAGTTTTATCAAAAGCACTACCTCAGTCTATTGTGCTCACTCAAAAAGGAGTTTCGGACTTCATCACTCATTCCGTTATCCAGCTTGCATTTGTCTTAAAGGATCAGTTGCTATGAATGCTCAATTGATTAGCAAAAGACTTTTTAATACTACGCATTATAAACTGTAGAAAAACAATAGGACCTGTTCCTGGTTGAAGTGGTTCACTTGTCGTTGGTTTAAGTGACCCGCCAGTCGTTGGTTGGAGAGGTTCGCCTGTCGTTGTTCGGGGTGGCTCACAAGTCGCAGGTTGGAAGGGCTCGCTTGTCGTTGGTTGGAGTGGTTCTTCTGTTGTGGGTTGAAATGGTTCGCCTGTCGTTGGTAGGAGCGGTTCTTCTGTTGTGGGTTGAAATGGTTCGCCCGACGTTGGTTGGAGTGGTTCTTCTGTAGTGGGTTGAAATGGTTCGCCCGTCGTTGATTGGACTGGTGCTGCTGTCGTTGGTTGGATCGGACTGGTCACGTTATTCGATTCAATATTATAGAACTCCATCCTTATAACAAAACTTTTCGTTAAGTTATATCCTTTGAGAACAACGGGCTTTTTCTCGTCTACCTCAGCTTCCACATGTAATACACCGAATAGGAACTGAAAGATCGTTTTGAACGTGCACCGAAACAACGAGCAGTGTTACATGCTACAGTAGCGATCAATCGATCTGAGTGCATTTTGAACAATTAAATACACGGAGTTGTTTCTTGGTGCTTAGAATATTTGAACCAAATCGGAAGACTTACCAGTGTGAATGCAGTAGTTAGTACCATGCTTGACATCGAGCTGCCATTAAGTCTCGACAATACAGCTGCTTTAATATTACCCATAACAATTGAATGGAAGTAAATATTTTGTTTCACCATTTGCAGATCGCCTAAGCGCATATTTAGTCAACTGGTAACAGTCTAAAACTTAGCGAATCAATCCGAAACGATCATTTGTTTTTTCATCATTGAAATCGTCGAGTGAACGTATCTGGCGGTGGAAATGAAGACAGTGGTGAACGTCGCAGTATTTCCGATATTGTGGGATATTTCTAAGAAACTGAAATTTTCGCTCTCATACTTCTTTGGAAATCCGATTTGACAATTGTAGCACGTCAGCATTTTATCGGTTTGACTTGAAGAACATTAATGAACATTGCTGATGGTCCATAGTACGATGGTGTGCAAAATAACCCTCATCGCTACAAAAGAATGTTTTAGTTAAAAAATGTGCTCCCGTAATTAATCAATAATTTTTATACTCTCTGATTACAGCTTTTTTGTACCAGAAACACAAAGCGCATGGAACTACGAGGGTGGTCTGTGCAGCGGCACTAAGTCGAATCCAGTGGCGGAGTGGAACACAAAAGTATGAAACAGACTCAGACAAGTGTTTCTTTTTAAGCAAAACGGTTCGTTATCTGTAGCCTACCTAAATGATCTGTTTTCATGGCGGCGATCCATTCTGCTGAAAACAGGATGGTTGGTTGGTGAGTGACTTGGCTTTCTCGTTGGTTTGCTGTTAAGAGAAGCCGTGTTTACAAAAGACTTTTCTCATAGAATTGAGAAATTCTTGATTAATGTGCTCTTCGCCCTCAGTCACAAAAAAACTCTGCGTAGAGCAGGTCTTTAAAAAGATTAGTGAGATTTTCAATGGATTTCAGTGATAATATTAAGAATTACAACCATAAAAATGCTGAGATAATCGCGTAACTTGGACTCCGCGTCAGATTGAACCACGATTTCCCTTTCCAAAGACTCGTCCATTACACATTGTGCCACGGAGGCCGCTGCTTTGCGTTTCTCTCAGCTAGCTAGAAAAATTATAGCAGGCGGAAAATAAAATTCTAATAATGTTAGGAATTTCCAAAAATATCGCACAATATTGTGACTGTGAAATTCACCATTGTCTTCACTTTCACTACCGGGTACATTTCCTCAATGATTTGAATGATCAAAAAGCAAGTGATCATTTTGAATTGAATCGCTGGCTTTTAAGCTCCCACCAGCTGATCTAATATATCCCTCAGTCTTTTCGCTTCAAAACAACGTATTTGCTGTGCCAAGTTTGAATTCTTCAATTCGTGAAGGAGTACTAAAGCAGCTGCATTTGCTGAAGATTTATAAATGCTGAACCATGTGCGTATTAACTTCTTGATTCACGTCCTTAGTTTTGATTCACATCTTCAACATCTCAGGTAAGGACTCCAAGTACTTCGAAATTAAATGAATGTAGTCGCTAACTCAGCTACTATCACCCCTGTATCTATCCTGGAGCTTCACCTATGCACGCCTTCTCAATAAAATAGCCTCACTCTTTCATAGTACCCTGAAAACGATGCTTCTGTTTAATTGGACACGAAAAGGTTCTCAGATCCGAGTGTTCCTTTATGAACATCGTTTCTTTAAAATTTTGGAGCAGAAACGACATGGATTAGTGAAACATTCGACTTATTATGAAGATCTACTTATTGAAACTGGTTATGATACTAAGATCTACTTGTTGCAATTGGTTACAATACTGGGAGAATTTTGAGACGAAGGCGAGAGGAATAGTTCTGAAATTGGTACTTGGACGAACAGTTTCTAGAGTCCTCGAAAGCGGCTAGCGGAATAATCTAGTGCAGCATAGATTATGCATGTATACCATTCCCAGATTCGCCACGTGATCACCTTGTGGTAGGCAAGTGCCTGTAAGTGCACATCGACGAGTCTTTTTCACCCATCGGCGAGCGCACTACCAATTTTCTCTAACCCAGACTGAAGGAACACCACGGCCATGAAAACCATTTCTTGCTGTGCACTTATAAAACAAGAATAGTTTTCTCAGATGCCGATGTTGTTGTTGTTACCGCTATTGTGCTCTTTTTGCCATCGTTGCTGTTCTTGTTTGTTGTTGTTGTTGTTGGCCGATGGTTCACGTTTCGGCGATTTCGCCTTGCTCAGAGCCGTGCTGCTATGAGCGGAAGTCCCGCATAACTTTCAAAGCACTGATATCAATGAAACGTTGCCAAATCGAAACTGAGGGTTTGCAACTGTGAATGCAACAATGCAAGAGTGACATTGAGGTACATTAAGTTTTCGGAAAGCATGTGCTTCAACATCACTCCAAAAATTGGCAAGATCTAAGTTGAGCAAAATAAGTGTATTACAATACAGTGAAGGTGGAAACGAAGGTGAGGATAATGTGTAGCAATATGATTTGATGTCGCTGTCGACCTGAAGCAAAATAATCTTTGCGAAAGGAATGGACTGTCTCTGAAGACCCCTACTCAAAGGAATGGGCATCCCTGAAGCTTCAGATAAGAATGGTTTAATAAAAAAAAAAACATCATCCATTCTGAGGAACTAGTGCTTAAAAATTGTCAAACCTGTAGATTTATATCGCACGTTTTATTGAGATTTTCGTTGCAGAGGCTTTTATTGTACTCACTGTTTCGGCTCTCCCGTCATCTTCGGAATGGCAATGATTCGAATGAACTGATCACAGCAGTTGTTCATGGTCGTTTGAATCTTCGTACCTTTATAGAGTTAAATACACATCTATCAATTTGTGCTGGAGCACTATTATTTTGTGAGCTCACCATAAATAGCTAATTTTCTTAAAATGACTGAGGTGTACCATAATAGGTAATGCCTCGTCAGCCAAAAATCTAATAGTTCAAAAGCTTTCGTATATTTCACTCTATTTTCGACAAGCTAAGTGCTAACGTATTAATTCCTTGTTTACAGCCGATATTCCTCTTTCATGGTAGAGTATGCCGTCAGGTTCAACTAAATGGATGCTGAGATATAAATCGCGCAATTACCTTTTCCGGGTGCTCACACACCACTCAAACCGAAAACCTAGCTTTGCCTTTCCCTTTGCCATTTTTTTACCCTAATAGTTCCATCAGCCATAAGAAATTAATATGGAGTAGATAAAGGTTATACAGTGTGGCTTCGACTGCAGCTTCAGTATGGCTGTGTTCAATGTCGACTTCTGCTCTGCAGATCATTCCAGTTTGCGGTTGACTGCTGATTGCACCGTAATGGTAAAAAAAAGTTGCTGATGGAAAGGCAATGGAAGGGACATCGGTGGTGGAATGGGTACCATGTGAAACCCTGGAAAGGATAATCACGGGTTCTAGATGCTAACTGTTAATCGTAAAAAGGAAAAATTGTCATCTGGGGTTCTGGAGAGGTCAAAAAACGATGAGTTATGTGGTGGATGGGTTACGTGCGTTAAAAAATTCTAACATTGATGGAATAAAACATTAACAGAAACATTAAGAAAATAAAAAAAGAAAATCTATCGAGCAATAGCGCTGCTGTTTACTCGGCCAACTGACACCATTAAATCTTATTTCACTATGTGGATTCATTTCAGTTCCTCTGCTGAACATAACTGAGAAGTTGATTTACTTTACAGTAAAATTTTCATGACATTTATTTTTGTGGACTTTATGAAGAAGTCTAACAGATAATATGTTGGCCATTATTATTCTGTTCATAAGCATTCACAACAACAGTAGCGATCAGTCTAGTTCGGCTTGATGCAGAGTGCTTCGTCGGGGCTACATTTGCAACCGTCGCACTGGCAATCACTGTCAGTTTTACACGGCTCTCCTATGGTGTAAATTGTACTTCCAATGTAGTTGCCACTAAAATAGTTCAATAAAGCATTTTTCCTTAGAACGTTTTCTAGAAAGAAGTGGAAAAGATATGACATACGGAGGTGAGTATTGGCAGACGACAAGTGTCTTGTCTGAGCACACTGCAATACCACAGCCGAGCTTGTACGAACTTTCATACACCACCTTTGAACCAGTCGTCGTTGTGATTGGGAAAAACAGCAAACAACAAATAATGTACTCACCTGGGTGTAATGACCAACTGGCATGTTTGGACGATTCCAAATCTCGTCGGTAAGAATATTATCTGGTGGCATTCCGAATTTCTCTAATTCGATGAACCATGAATAGGTGGCCTTAGCAAGGTGATATGTTAGGAAATTTTACTACTCCTTCATTACAGTTAGCAAACTGTCGCAACATAAGTTATGGCTTTGATTTCAATTATAGAAATAATTATAGGAATATGAACTCACCGTTTTACCCATCCCCGTAATATTTTCCTGTTTCGGAAAAATTGCCCAGAGGTTTTCTCCATTTTTACCCCCCACGGTATGTTTGAATACGCATTTATTCGCATGTATCGCGGCAGTTTCCTCGACTGAACAATCGTAAACCTAAGAATGAGAATCGCTAACAGAAGAGTTATTGTAAAAGAAAGTAAAAAAAAATCTGGCCTCACTGACCATTTTCAGTATTCTGGCCCCTTTTGGTGCGTAGCCATTCGTACCGAGGGGATTTTTAGCCAAACCGTTAGCCGTAAATGATCTCAAGAAAAATCGGTGTTAATTAAGCGCTTATGGTAAGGGAAAATTTACAAAACTGCTTCGAATTTAGTTTATGCCGTATTTGTTCAAAGCAAACAAAAAAATTTATAGTGTCTTTTATCAAAAAGACTACCTCAACCTATTATGCTCATTCAAGAAGTCGTTTCGGATTGCATCGTTCATTCCGTTGTTCAGCTTACATTTGTCTGAAGAGATCAATTACTGCGAAAGATTAAATCATCGACTAAGTTGCTGTTGAACATGTTTCTATAATAATGGTAATATGTATAACCTGAGCCTGGTTGGATTGATCTGGACGTGGTTGGTTGCACTGGTTTGCGTGTCGTTGGCTTAGGTGGTACAGTGACGTTCGCTTTTTTCGAATCGACATTAAAATATTCTATCCTCACAAGAAAGGTTTTTGTTCCGTTACCCTCAGGGAAGGCGAAGACCTGTTTCTCGTCCATCTCTGCTTCCGAATTAAATCCGCTTATTAGAAACTGGAACATCACTTTGAAAAAAAATGCTTTGAACTAGTATACTGTACTGGATAAAGGAATAGTAATCGAATAAGCGACTGCATACGTTAAAAACTTAGGTATCCGCTATTGTTGTCAGGTACTCCGAACATTGGAACCGAACTGAAAAACTTACCAATGTAAATGCAATAGCTAAGAGCATGGCTGACATTGAGCTCTCGTGAAGCTTCGGCAATTCAGACTTTAATATCACGCCAAGTAAGGGCAACAAAGTCAATATGTCGTTTTTGAAGAAGCAGAATGATTTTGTACATATTTAATCAACTGGTCGTAGTTCGAACTAAATGCGACAATTCAAAACACTCGTTTGGTTTTTGATGACTGGTGTCATTCATTAAGCACATCTTTTGGTGAAAATAGGACCGAAGGTAAACAACAGCTTTAGGTTTTCATTTAGCTTCCCATTTTTTTTAGCTTCCCAATCGAGAGTATATCAAAATTTTTAGGTATTCTTATATTCTTCTTTTAGGTATTTAGGTTTTTAGGTATTTTTAGGTTTTAGGTACTTTTTCTGTGCATGAACACAGAATGAGCTGCATTCTTCTGTTGAAAAGACAATGAAGCGGTTGATGGGGAAACAACTATGGTAAGGTTTTCTTATCACCAATTATCATTTAACTCCGGCGTAAATTATCACTACTTTAATACTTAGTACTTTATATATTCTTTCTTTGATGAGCTTACACGAAGTTGATAATGATGTTTATTTTCGGTTAACGTTTCGACATCTCCGTCTTCCTCAGAGCCGATGATCCCAGCCGATGGTCCTCGCTTGTTATTCGTGCCTACGTGGCATTCTTCGCCTTCGTGTCGAGTCACGTCTTCTTCAGTGAGCCATCTCCTCGAACGAGTCATCCTTACTCAGTGGTGCCCTTTTATACACGTTGGTTATGGTCGATATAATGATAATGTCCGGTGATAACAACTTGTTTTTCTTCCGGACATACACCATTGCCCACATCGTGCAGAAGTCGGTGTTGTTATCAACTGGCACAAAGCGTAGTAAGTAGTACTTCGTACCTAGAGTGACTTTAACCACTTATCACTGAATAATCACTAAACTTCCTTGGAATATGAAGGTTGTGTAAAGACTTTTACTCAGCTGTCTTTATTAAATTAATCATTTTCTTGGATTACTGATATACTTATACGGAATCGTTACAAAAGTATGAACGTTACCCCGCCAATATCACTTTCTTGTTGGCACCAGTGCAGTGATATGAGTCGACCACTTACAGCAGTTTGTTCTTGTGATGAGCGATTAAGTGGTCGCATTAAGTCGAATCTAGTGGGGTGGTGCACCGTAGGAATGAACAGACCTCAACTAGCAGGACCAGTTTATATAGGATTGGTCTACATTTATTACGACTCAATATGATCCTTTTTTATGACTGAGATCTATACTGTAAAACTCGGAAGCTGGCAAAACAATCGGTTTATCAGTCGATTGCTGGAAAATCAAAGCAATATTCGTGATCACTGCTTAGAGAGTTGAAGATGGCTTCACTAATATTCTTCAATACTTCGGTCAAATGAGAAACCTGGTGAAAAACTGAAGTGTTTTGATTGATTCTTCAGATGTTCAATGAAATCTGAACAGTGTTATTAAAACTATTTGAAAATTTGGCGCAATATTATAGCGCACAACATTTATTTTGGTCATGATCCTCATCAGATATGCTTACTAATGATTCCGATGATGAAAAAACAAGTGATCGTTTCGAGCTGATTGTTGAAGTTTTAGCTTTCCACAAGTCTATCAAATATGTACAGTCATTTTGCACGCTTCAAAATAATATATTTACTTATTCAGTTTCAATTCCCCAAATGCTTGAACTAATATTGAAACAACTGCGTTGCCGAAGCTTAAGCGCTCATGTAAGGCGCATTAAAGATCAACTTCATATTGGTAAGTCTTCAGTTTCTTCTCAAACCCTCGAGAGATTATGAATGCATTCCGAATATTAGATTATTCGAAAAATTGCTCAGTTAATGAAACACTCAGATCTTCCAAATTTATTCCAACTTCGGGACTAAGGAGAGTATGCATCAATGACGAAACATCTACTGACGACCTCTTGGATGACCATCAAATGATAGGCAGATGGGTTTGTGGCCAATGTCAGGCATCTGCACTCACAGTTAGCAACGATTTCAGGGTTATGGAATGAGGACCTCGCCGTCGTTGCCATGTTCGAGGCAGATCGACACTGCTGCGTTAGAGAGGAACAGGGGGAAATCATGGCGGACCCACACACCGTTAGGATAAAAAACTGGCCGAGAGGAAGACAAAGCAAATGCTTTTGTTGGTACAGTGGATAACATGTGAGCCCTCGGAAAGGATAATCGCGGTTTAGAAGCGCATCTGACGTTCCGAGTTTTGCTCTTATCTCAGCATTCTTGTTGTTGTATTTCATAAAATATTACAGACAATGCTTTTATAATTTACAGTAAAATATCCTATGTGGATGCTATTCATTTACGACAGTTTCGTCTAAATCACAGCCACTATCACCCAATTGTCATAAAAATTGATAATTCTGGAAATTAGGGTAACACGAAAGAAAGTGCATTTGCTAAGAAACAACCACTAGTGTATGGGAAATGTTCGAATATGCTAATGACATATAAAGATATATAGTGATAATATATTGTGATATAGATGCCATGTAATACGAATGAGCGCTTGGTTCGATCGCGCGAAGATTCGCCACGCTTCTTGTATTTCCGTGATTAGGAAACTGGTGCCAGAATTGTCAGTAAATCTTCTTGGGTTTTGCCAAGGTTCATGTGATGAGCACCTGAGAAAATTCTATTCTATCTAATATTAAAGCTATCGCGGGATTACAAAGAGCATCCGCCCAACCAGTATTCAATTAAATCCGTAAAATAGAATGGAATTCCTCAAGCATCTGCCAAAAGCAAGTGCAAAGACTTTCACAGTAACAAATGTGAAGATTTGTGTTATTGTAACACCTGATCTGCTCTACTAACAACTACACAGTGATCTTGAAAGTTGAATCAAGTCAAGCAGATATGTGTGGAATTTTATTTATCATCCGCATATGTCAGGACGATATGTCACGACCCCCAGCAGTCAGGTTTTAAAATTACTAGCCAACATTATGTGCTTATTTGCCTCGTCTTCACGACTACTTTTCGGATCGCAAAACTTGCTCTCGATTCGTTTCTGCGCAACTATCCCCCATGAAGGACCTCCAGCTGTTGCGTGTGAGTTCGACTGCTGCTTGAGGATTGTCGTCGTGCTTACAAATGCCCTTGAACGCTGGTCGAGTAGATTGCACTTGGAGTCCTAGGATTGGAGTTGGAAGCGCTCCGATTCTAATTCAGGGAAGTGCACCGTTTTCAGGCAAGTACGGTACCAATTTGAAGCGTGATAAGATGCCTAGTGTGTCGGAAGCGCGGTCGGGCAACCACCGTACACGTGATGAATAGCATTACTACCACTGCGCTACCTGCCTCTATCACTACGAAACACATTGTTTCTCTCAGTTGCAAATCTGAATGCTAACAAGCGATATACTAATTGAAATGTTAGATATATTCAAGATTACATTGCTGTTACCACCTACATATTTTGCAACTGCAATAGCAACTTCATATTTTCTAGGTCTAGCTGCTTAGTTTTGTGCCACTTTCATTCAGCCTTATGAATACAATCCATTGCTTACTTGTTAAGCAAATACGAGATTGTAATCACAGCACCTACTCATCTACGATAGTCAATGCTCCGGCGATTTCGCCTTATTTGGAACCTAGAAAAGTCAAAATGACAGTCTACTCGGTGAAACGTTTTCATAAACAGCATGTAAGACTTAACACATAGATTTTTATTCGCATAGCAAACGCTTTCTTCCACTCACCATTTTGTTCTTTATGAGCTTTCTGATTGTTTGGTAGAGAACAGCAGCACAGATTTTTACATGGACAAGGAATATGTTTTGCTCAAGTCAAAGAATCAGCCTGAGGTATGGCACTAGGTCATACGTGACTACAAAACACATCCCTGCGACTCATCTGCGGATTTTTGGAGTTTATCCAAAACGCTTCAAGAATTTTACGCCCTAATGCTTTCTGCTCCTCTGCGATGATAGTGACTTTTATAGTTCCCAGAAACGACTTTCTATTAACCTCGGCGTTGGAATATGAATGCGTCGTTTTCTTGTTCAGCAATCGCGAGGTTTTTAAACAGCACACATTTGCTTCCATAGAGAAACACAATACAATACAACGAGAACGACGCGCCCACGCGTAACACTTGGACGAAAGAAAATCCCGTTTATGGTGCCTTTTATAAGCGATGAAGTAAGCGTAGCTATAAAACGATGCTTAAGAAGGGCAGGTCTAAAGGAATCGGTAGCCATAGCTGAAATACCAGCGGCTACTCTACGTCGTCAATTAGTTCGCAACAGCCTGTATGACCGTCTGTGTGAAACAACAAATTGCGTAATTTGCCCTTACGGCAGGGACGGTGATTGCATGAGTTCAGGTACGATATACCTGATTCGTGTAACAGTTGCGGAGATGAATATATTGGCGAAACGGGCAGACCTTTGTGTATCCGTATAAAAGAACACCTAGATGGCAAACGAAAACTAAGACCAAGCACCCCACTAGGCACGCATAGGATACAAAAGCATTGCGGAGACGACTTTGAAGTAAAAGTCAATTTCCTTGCACAGGAGACTAAAACACCAGCGCGAAAACTTCTTGAGGTTTTTTGGATAAATGCCAAAAACCCCTCAATGAATAGCAGGAGGGAATACCCAGAGGTCATACGTGACCTTGACCCCGTATGTTCGCACCAATTTCTGATGTGGGTGCAGTCATCAACCATATGCGACTATAATCAGCTGTTCTAAACTTCCCCATTGGAAGTCCCTAGAAAGCGGTGAGTTTTTCGAGAAGCTGTTGACCATATAATTACCGTAGAATCTTTCGTCTTTTTG